CCCAGTCCCTCCTGTTTTATATCCCCCCAAAACACACTTGTTTGTTCAAACAAAACAGGATTTCTATTTGTTCTGCAGGGGATGGAGAGAAGGTGGGAAGGAAGGAGTGGGGGAAGAAAGGCACACAGAGGGAATGCAGGGGCCCCTTGTGGAGAGACACTGGGAAGAGTCTCACAGCTGGCCTTGCATGAAACTCTCCCTCAAGGCCTCCCGGATAAGCACAGCCCCTTGATGTGCTTGTCGAATGGCAATGGTGTCTAGCTGCTCATAAGCCCTGGCCAGCCATTCATCCTCTGCCTCCACCCTGGCAGGAAAGTCTCCCCCTTACTTTCACAGAGGTTGTGGAGCACACAACAGGCTGGCATCACAAAGGGGATGTTGCGCTTGCTGAGGTCCAGACAGGCAAGGAGACTCCTGAACCTCACCTTTAAGCGGCCAAACACACACTCTATCACTATGCAGCACCTGCTGAGCATGGCATTGAAGTTCTCCTTGGTGGGGTTCAGGCTGCCTGTGAAGGGCTTCATCAGCCAGGGGAGCAAGGGATAGGCTGCATCGCCCAGGATGCAGATAGGCAGGGCTCGACAAATAATGCAATCTACTTGCCCGTGGCGAGTAGATTGCAACCCGGTTCGGCAAGCCCTGCAGATGGGGATGTCCATGTCTCTGACTCTGATGTTGCAATCAGGGAAAAAAGTGCCACAGTGCATCTTCTGGAACATGCATGAGGTCCAGAAGATGCGGGTGTTGTGTGCCTTCCCCAACCCATACGATACTGATGTCAGTAAAGTGTCCCTTGTGGTCCACCAGGGTCTTCAGCACCATCAAGAAGTACCCCTTTCTTGTTTAGATAGTCTGAGGCATGGTGGTCATGGGGTTGGGATGGGGATATGAGTGCCATCTATGGGCCCCTTGTAGTTGAGGAAGTCCATGGCGGCAAAGCCACCCACAATTTTGTCGATGTTGCCCAGAGTGACACTCCTCCATAGTAGCACGTTGTTGATGGCCATGGCTACCTGCAGAAGTATGGCCCCAAATGTGGATTTCCCCACACCAAACTGGTTCCCAATGGAACAGTAGCTGCCCAGCATGGCAAGCTTCCACAGGGGGATGGCAGGTCACAGTTGGGCATCCTGTCACCTGAGGACAGGTGGGAGCCATTCGCAGAGCTCCAGGAATGTGGCCTTCCACATGCGGAAGTTCTGCAGCCACTGCTGGTCATCCCACTGATGCATGACGATACGGTCCCACCAATCAGAACTGGTCTCCCTCCATCAGAAGTGGAATTCAACAGTGTCCAGGGGAGCATTTTACAGCAGCAGCAGGAGTGCCAGGTGAAGAGGTCTTCCATTTCAGGTTGGTCATCATCCTGCTGGAGCAGCATGAGGGCAATTTGGATGAACAGTGCCATGAGGCGCAGCACTAGGCCTGTGAGCTTGGCACTGCTTTGCAGCAGCACGGGCTCCATGTTGGAAGTGCTGTGGCATCTGCAAGAGCAACCAGAGCACAGTGCGTCCGTTTGGTGTTCCACGATGAGGGAGGCAGTGGAGGAGTGGTGAGACATGGCCATGGAGAGGAACCCCTAAAAGCACGCATTGCAGCCACCAGAAGTATCCACTCTCCTGGTGCCTTCCCCAGAGGCATCCAGAGACTCTAAATCGGAGGCAGGTTCCAGTGTGGATGTGCTATTTCAAAATAATTCTGAGCAATTTCAATGCTCCCTCATAGTTTGGACACACTATTTCAATTTTGTTATTTTGGGAGTTATTTTGAATTTACTTATGAAATTATTTCCTAGTGTAGACATGCCCTTACAAGAATACTTAGATTAATAAGCTACATTTTCCCTCTGACTTGAGATGTTAAGATCCAGTTTTCAAAGGAGCTGCTAAAAAAAATTGCAACGATAATTTTTTATGTTCAAGGTTTTGTACAGGGAACTGCATTTGCACAAACAAATCAGAAACAAAGTCTGTACACACAAATCTAAGTTTTTGCTCCCGTCGCCCCATGTATAAAAGTTTGATAATGAAGAAAAAAAAAAAAGAGCCAGTGCCAAGCATTATAAATGCTGGAATAAGGTAGGCCATGTTTTCTAAAAGATCTCCAAAGTGATATATACAGCTTTACCCTGCAAAAAGGTAAATGCTGAACACATTGTTTGACTTTAATGGGCATAACACATTCTGCACAGAAACTTGGATGTATCTTTTTCAAAATTTTGTTCTGCAGTTGTAAACAAGTGATGGATACCCACAGCAAGCCTCCCCTCCCCCAATCAAACATAACATTTATTTTTTGGCTCATTTTTATTGCACAGCAGAAAAATGCTCTTTGCACAGAGCACTTTCACCATATAGAAAGGCAGTTATCACACCTTGAAATTGCAATGGGTGCACATTACAGGAGTGGAAATGTGTGTTTGTTTTGGCCCAATCTAGTTATTAACCCACATGATCAGAACATAGTGCCACAGCATGGAGACCACAACCCAGCAGAGAAGCGATGGAAGAATAGGCTTTGTAAACGAAGATAAGGAATAGTAAAACATTTCCACTCAGCACTAATTCTATAAAGACAAAATATACTGGGTTACAATTTACATCAGAAACTCTTATGAGCAGCGACACATTTACTGCCAGTTCTCACTTGATTTGTCATAAATTAACTAGTTTCTAAGGTCAAATAGTGATAGGACATGCCTATGGTCGTGAGCCATGAATGAATGGTCAAGTAACATGCGCAAGCTGCGTAACAGTATCAAGTGCTACATTCAAACTGCAACTGCTTTATTCTGTATATAAATAAGATGGACATGAAGGGCCTCTGACATATAAAATATTCTGTCTTCCTGTTTTAAATTAATGGGATTAGTGCAGTTTAGAAGCGGCTGCCTGAATTTCTTCAACAAATGTCCATTGTTTTCCAGTGGTATGCTGTTGACAGTTTCTCAAACATGCTTTGGATTCCTATCAAAATTGCTTGCAAGCAAGCTGCTTTAAAACAATACTTCATTGTTGAATTAATATAATAAAGCCAGCGTGCTTGGGTAACCTTTAATCCAGGGACAGTGGCATGAGATTTTATTACTTAAGCTTTAGAACTGTTTTGTTTTTTAAAGTGTGCCTCCAGTGAAGTTTAATTTATGGTTAAATAAATCCAGGCAATTACCTTTTCCCTTTCCCTCTTCTCATCGTATTATAGATTTCAGTAATGAATATCTCCTTTCTATTCACAATTAAAGAGTTCAAGGGGCTGATATTATGAGATGCTGCATGCCTTCAACTCTCACTTTGACTTCACTTTTTCTTTAGAGCTACATTCCCATCCTTAGTTCTTATCACACTACATGTGCAGCAACAGTTGTGTTCACTTTTGTTGTTGTTTTTGCTAGAAGTTCCAGTAATTTATTCCGTCGGGTTGTGTAAAAGTGCTCTATTAAACTACAGAGGAAGTACCTTATAGTATATTTTAGTTAGCACAAATTTAAAAAAGATACCTTAGGAGAAAGGCTAGCTCTGTGGTTTAAGCACTGTACAGAAGTGCAGAGCAACCTGGGTTCAATGCCTACCTCTGCCTGTTTGTGTGTGTTCCATGTACAAGTCACCCTCTCTCTATGCTTCAGTCTACTATCAGTAAAACAGGGATAATAATCTTTGTCTCTAGTCCCTTTGTAAGTGTTTCAGGATAAATACTACCTATCATTATGTGACTGTCCTGTACTCAGAGCCATGTGATCCTGTATTCAGTTGGGGCCATTAAGTGTTACCATAATGCAAATAACAGTATTAGATAAAATGCTGTTCAGACATGTTTGTTAGAAACAAGGTTTACCTGCGCCGGTCGACAAAGGCTTCCTTGTCGACAGCGGCGCGTCCGGACTGCCCCGATCTGCCGACAAACAGCTGATCAGCTGGTCGGCAGAGCGCGGCAGCCATTTAAATTTAAATTACGCCGCGATTTAAATAATCGTGGCTTCATTTCCCTCTGCCGATCAGCCTAATCTACATGGTTCCATCGACGGAGCCATGTAGTTTAGACACACCCAAAGGTGACAACTACAGTATGTGCTGGGTCATAACACACTATCAGTTTCTTTAGTCATAGTTGGAACCAATGCTTAGTCACTTAGGGCCTCATTTGCAGGAGCGAAGCACAGTCTCCAGGGCTCACTGCCTCTGAAAACTGGATAGTTAGAGCCCAAAGATAAAAGGTGCCAAGACCCCTGAAATTAAATCTACTCCTTGCAGTATGAGGCCTTCAGAGCACATCAAGCAACTTAGAAGTTGCATTATTTTCTTTACTGATGCTATCTATGGTTGAGGCCATGCTATCCTACAGGTTAACATGTTTTCTAGTTACTGCTAAACATTTCCATAGCTAATACAAATTTGGCTTGTTTTCCTGTGCATGGTACTAGCCTAGCCCTGCCACAGGCTGCTCTGAGGTAGTTTATAGAGCTGTTTAACAGCAAGGTTGCATAACTCCCTTATCTTTTTCTTGCTAACTAAGTTCCATCAAAAACCTTAGCAGCTGTAATTACAGGTGTTGTTTTCATATCAACTTGGAGCAGGCAGAAACATCCCCAGACAAGGAGGCAGCCTTGAGTGACTGCAAACAAGTAGCGCTATTTCAGCCCACTAGAGCAGTGGTCCCCAACCATTTGAGGCCGCCTGCCGGGTGCCAGAGGGCAGGGACACTTGCGCTCCGTGCACCCGGGGCCGGCGCTGGCGCTCTCTCCCCTCCCTCCCCCATGCGCCGCGGGGGGTCAATCCGCGGCGCCCCTGGGGCCGGCGCTCACCGTGCGCCACGCGCCCGGGGCCAGCTCCGGCACCATGCATGCGCCACATGCCCAGGGCCAGGCCAGCTAAATGCGCACAAATGCCCCCACGGGTGCCATGGCGCCTGCGTGCACCGTGTTGAGGACCACTGCACTAGAGGGAGTGCAAGAAGTTAATCTGCTGAGTAGCTATGTTGAAGTTGCTGAGCAAGGCTTTATTCATAGGAGCAGACATTCCTGCATGTGTGCACAAACACCTTGAGCTAGAACAGGGGTGGGCAATAATTTTTTGCCGGTGGCCACTTCAAAAGTTTGTATAGTGCCCCTGGCCCTCACTGGAAGGGGCAGGGCCTCAAAAGGAAGGGGCAGGGCCAGGATGCTTCTGGCTTTCCCACCCTCAAATCATGACTGGTCTGGGGGTGGGGGAGCCCTCCCCCTTCCCACTAAGCACCCATGCCACTAGCAGTGGGAAGAGACTTCCCGTGCTCCCACCCCCAGGCCAATCAGGCCCTGGGAGCGTGCAAAGTGCTGCGTCCTCCTGGCAGGGTGGAGGAAACTTTGTGTGCTTCCTCCAGCCCCTAACTGGCCTGGGGGCAGGGGAGCAGCAGGGCCTCTGCAGGCCGGATCAACCTGCTTGGCGGGCTGGACCTGGCCTGTGGAGGCCCTTTTGCCCAACCCTGAGCTAGAAGCTTCTCGCCAACCAATAGTGAATTCTAGTGAGGTAAAACAAGCAGACATTTTGAAAACCAGCTGGATCCAGCCCATTTCTGCAGGGAGAAGATAGAGCTGTCAGCAGTAACTAGGGATGTGAATGTCTAGTCAACTATCCAATAAGCAAATGCTTATCAGACAGTCGACAGGCTAGTTGACTAGTCGCTCCCCTCCCCCCCATTGCTGCCTCTTTCAGAAAGAGGCAGTGAGGGGAGGGGAGTAGGAAGGGATGCTTCAAAGTGGAGTATGACACCAGGCTCCCCAAAGTGTTTCAAAGCGGCAGTGCCACCTGGAGCCTGGAGTCAGCTGGGGACTCTGCCACTCTGAAATGTTGCAGGGAGCACGAGGCCAGCAGGAGGCTGCTTGATTCCCCTGTTATCATGCTCCCCGCAGCACTTTCCCCTTTGAAGTGAAGCAACACCCCTAGGACTGTTGCTACACTTCAAAGGCGGAGGTTCCCTATCGAATAGCATTGACTAGTCGATTAGCCAATTAATCGAAATTTTACATCCCTAGCAATAACCTAAGCTGAATCTGTAGGTTAGTTCTCACTGCAGTTTCTTGTAATTTTACAGAAGTCACTGGAACTAGGGCTGGGAAAACACCACAGAGGAAGAATTGTAGACTTGGAGGTCCAATGTCTCTATGAGGACATCATTGAGCCAAAGACACAATGCATACCTAAAAGCAGTTTTTCTTATCTGCAATTGTGTATGTGCTCAGTATTGTGAACATTGAAACAACTGATTATATGCAACTGAACGTTTTATCTTATTGCAAATATAACACTCAGGATGAGCCTACATGAAAGCACAAGTCCCAATTCTTGTATTTATTTTAAAAGGTATAAAAAATATATATTTTAGGGTTTAGACCCTGAATAACATTCTTCAATATAGAGGAAAATAATGAATAACTAGACTGACCTCATTAACTATGGAACATCTAGCAGGAACATGGATGTTCCTGGATCAGAGAACCTTGGTAGCCTAGTGGCAGGAGGGCAGTCCAGAAAGGGCTGGGCTGAAGCAGCGGGACAGGGCTGGGGCAGCCCCCAGCAGCAGTGGGGCTGGAGCCTCCGGCAGCACAGGATTGGGCTGGCAACAATCTGTGGAAGCACAGCCTGGGGCCAAGTCCTGAATGGCCTGAGGAAACAGGGCCAGAGCCTGTGGGCTGCCATGGGGCAGAAGCCCAAGCCCTTGGCAGTGACACTGTGGTTGGGGCTGGCTGGACAGCCTGCAGAAGAGGGGCCAGAGTCCACGGGCTGCTGCAGGGGCTGGTACCAGAGCCTGAGTCCACTGTAGCCCCTGGCAGCCCAGCCAGGCCATAGCCTGTTCCTGGCAGCCCACAGCAGTGAAAGGCCAGAGCCTGTGACAGCCTACAGAAGTGGGGGCTACTGGAGCACAGCAGGCAGTCTGGCCGGGGCAGAAGCAGTAGGGCCAGCAAGCCAGCAGGCAGCCCAGCAGGGACTGGAGATAGTCCTCCTGCTCCGCCCCCTCCCCCGTCCACCCAGAGCTGGCAGAGTTGGTGGCTGGGGGCTGTGTCAGGGAACCTTCTCTACTCAGGCAAATTCACTGGACCAGTCCCGAGGGTGCTGGATAAGAAATGTCCAACCTGTAGTGAGTTGCAACAGTTGTGCTGTAATGATTCATCTTTGAATATTTACTCAGTAAAAAGAAATTTGAAACTTGTAATTGGGTCGGTCTGTCAAAGTATATAAGTGTGTTATGGCCAAGACTGGTACAGGATTCCCAAGAAACTGAATCCTCCTATAAATTTCCACTTTTAGTATTTAGAGAGTTCCTATAAAAATTCAGCTGTTCTCGCTCATAAGAATATGAATTCATAGTCTGTGCAGATCACGGAATCATAGAACTCTAGAACTGGAAGGAACCTCAAGAGGTCACTGAGTCCAGTCCCCTACCCTTAGTATAAATCTTAGAAATGTTACCTCAAGAGGTCATTGAGTCCAGTCTTCCACCCTTACTATAAATCTTAGAAATGTGCATCTGTTTACCTGTCTGTGGAGGGGTGGGGGGCTCTAAGGGTTAGGGCTGGCACTGGGGGACTCTGGAGATGGGGGCTTTTGGTAGACTGGTAACATTTTATTTGCATAATGAATATGCAAAAATACATTTTACATGTTACCAGGCCACCAAAAGTTTGTGAATGAGTTTGCCCATCCCAAAAATGTTGGGAACCACAGATATAGATCAAGCCTGAAAAGATTCATGAAGCAAGGCTTGAGTGTGATTGGTTTAAAAAAGTAAGATCTCCCTTAATGTTCAAAACTGCAACTCATTTCAAGCTTTTCTCTGCTGTGCATCATTTATGCCTCATAGTAGCATACTTTTCTCTCAGCTGAGGGGGAAGAAGGGATCAAATTATACTTCTTGCAGAACTTGCAACAAAGCCTCTTTCCTGCCTTTTCCAAAACACATAACACTCCCATTCCACAGAACGAGATGAAACTCATTTTACTGCTATTTTACCCCCAAAGCAGGTTTGTGGTTTCTATTGATTCCCTGGAGAAAAAAAAAAAAAAAAAAAAACCTTTATCACTATGGAAACAATTGGCTTTTTGATGGCTTCTTCTGGGCCATTTTTTTATTGTTAGTCTTTTCACTGTAAATCTATGCAATTACAATTATATTTGGTTTAGTCCTAACTTGTAGATTGAATTATTGAAGTCAATTTCAAATATTTTCTCATACTTACTGTTGCAATGTTTCAAAGCCCTGTTCTTTGTAGAGTAGTTCTTGCTTCATGTGAAAGAGTTCTCTCTTTAGCTTCTTAACCTTTTGTGTGAAATCAAAGCACGAATTAGAAAATTCCTCTTTTTAAACACTGTAAAACATGGTTTCCAACAATTAATGCAGACTCTACATTAGACACGCAAAAAAGGTAAATCGGTATGTGTGCTACTATTTAGCAACTTATCAAAAACAAAGGCATTCCATTATCCTCTTGATGTCTGCAGGCAATTTACCTTTGTGTTAAAGGGACAATGTCAGATTAAAACACATTTTCTTAGTAGCGTTGACACTGGACTTACTAAACCCGAGAGAATTTTAAAATGTGAATTATTTTTTGCTTGTTAAGTATTCAGGGTAACTATCTTAGACAGCCAATCCTTTCCCCTTCCCCCCCATTACGATATTTTCACTTGATCGTTCCCAAAAGTTCTCAGCCTGTTCCATTTCAATAGAATCAGAAGCGAAATGGTTCCTTTTTACCTCAAGAATTCTTATGTTTTATGAAATTACCAGGCGGACTATAATAGAGTTTAAAGAGAAGCTGGATAAATTCATGGAGGTTAGGTCCATAAAAGGCTATTAGCCAGGGGATAAAATGGTGTCCTTGGCCTCTGTTTGTCAGAGGCTGGAGAGGGATGGCAGGAGACAAATAGCTTGATCATTGTCTTCGGTCAACCCTCTCTGGGGTACCTGGTGCTGGCCACTGTCGGTAGACAGGATACTGGGCTAGATGGACCTTTGGTCTGACACAGTACGGCCGTTCTTATGTTCTTATGTTCTTAAGGTGCTTGCTTGTCTATTTAAGTTTTTTGTGTGCTTTGTGTATTTCACTCAGGCTGGAAACAAGAACAGAAGTGTCAAACAAACTGATTTCTAGATTCTCAGACTCTCTCAAGACTGATCTGTTTTGGTTACAAATGCATACATCCCAACAATCTTTATTTAGGACGAACATTTAAGAACATTTTTCCTACTCTGACAAAAACTAAAACACAAAAAACAACTCAGTCCAATGGGGATTCAAAGAGCATTCCTATTTTTTTTACCCAAATATTGCAACTTCGTATGCAGAGAAATTGGGATGCACCATTGTGACGGCGCGTTGGGGGTCCCCCGTCTCCTGCACCCCGAAATGGCACAAACAGACTGCACCAGCCGGTGGAATAGAGGAAGTTTATTGCCTCTCCAGGTTACAGCACAGCACAGATGTCATCTGGTCACAGAGCTGGGCTAGGATGCCTCAGGCCCCCTTGAGATGGGGGGAGACTGGGCCCCTAAACTCCAGCCCCTTTCCCTAGGCTGTCTCCTCCATGCTCCCAGACAGCAACTAACTAACTCTCTTCCAGCCCTGCCCCCCAGCCAGGGCAGCATTCCACCTTCCTTTGTTCCTCTCCATGGGGGGTGTCTGGCCATACTGGTTTGCATAGTGACTCATCCTGTTTTGCTGGGTCGTGGTACCCACGGCAGCCAGTGGGGGTTACCCCAGAGCCAGCAGCATAGAAACCAGCCAGGTACCCCCACTACGTCACAACCATCCAAAAATGTCTGTCAATAGAAACAAAAATCTCTGTTGGAAATTTTTTAAAGGTCACAGAAAAAACTTCTCAAACTAAACCAAACTCTGGAGGCCAGCTACAGGACAGCATTCCTTTAATGCAAGTAATAATTACTAAATACACCAGAGATGTCATTGTGGCAGTGACACCCACACGAAACTGTTGAGTCTTATAAACTGCACTTGCTGAATATGATCATCTTCCATGGGTGTTGGGATCCTCCGGTGGCTGGTAAAGCCGATCCTTGAGCCACAACGAGAAAAGATGTTTCCAGGTACAGCAGGAGGCTGTTGACCATGTCTTGAAGCCAGTTTCCCCTTCCTCCTGCACCTCTTCTCCTCAGCTTGTCAGTGGGCAAATTCAAAATGCTGGAACTTCATTGCATAGGACTTTTCTCTATTTGAGCAATCCTGGGCAAGTGTCTCCCAAGTATCAACATCAATGCTGCATTTCTGTAAGTTATCCTTTAGCAAGTCCTTATGACACTTCCATTGTTCTCCCACGTTACAGTATCCTTCTTTCAGATGAGAAAACAGGAACCGTTTTGAGAGGCAATGATCTGGCATCCAAACAACGTGACCAGTCCAGAGCAGTTGGTTAGTGCGCCTGTCTTCCCATTTGGTCTCCAAGATTTTGCGGAGGCAACGTTGGGGATACCTCTCAACGACTTCCAAGTGATGTTTGTAGCTTGTCCAGGTTTCAGACCCATACAATAGTCTGGGAGAATGTTGGGAGAATATTTGGGAGAATGCTGGCTTAATAAATAAGAAGTTTGGTGTCTGTTTGAATGTTGTGATCTTCAAAAACCCTGTGCTGTAAACAAGCAAAGGCTGCACTGGCCCAGCTCAAATGATGTTGGATTTCTACATCAATATCTGCCTTGGATGAAAAATAACTTCCAAGGTAGAGAAAATGACTGTCATTCTCCAGTGCCTCTCCATTGATTTTAAAAGATGGGGCATATGGTACCTCATATGGAGAAGGCAGCTGATGGAGCACTTTGGTCTTGATGTTGAGGTGAGATCAACACATGTGTAAGCATCAGCAAACACATTCAAGATAGTTTTAAGATCTCTCTCAAAATTGGTAAAAACTGCATTGTCATCAGCTTGCTGAAGTCCCACAATAGATGTGGTGGAAATCTTACTCCTAGCTTTCAGCCTCTTGAGCCTAAACAGCTTTCCATCTATTCTGTAACTGATTTCAATGCCAACTGGGAGCTTCCCAGAAATTAGGTAAAAAATGATGGCAACAAAGACCGTGAACATGGTTGGGAAGATGATACAGCCTTGTTTGTACTTTGAAAGGTTCGCTCTGGGAGACAGTGCTGCTCAGAACAGTTGCTTTCATGTTATCTTGAAGCAACTTTAGGACACTGATGTATTTATCAGGACATCCAATCTTTGAAAGTATAGTCCAAAGGGCATGGTGATTCACTGAGTCAAAGGCTTTAGTTAGATCAATAAAAGCCATGTACAGTGATCGGTTTTGTTCCTCACACTTTTTTTGCAGCTGCCGTGCAATGATGATCACATCTGCAGTTCTACAACATGTTCAGAAGCTACTCTGTGACTGGTAAAATTTCTTCTGACTGTGCAGAAGACAGGTTTGTAATGACCTGTGCCAGAACTTTGCCTGCAGCAGCAAGAAGAGAGATACCACGATGGTTTCCACTGTCCACTTTATTTCCTATAAGGAGGTAACAATCAAGATATCCAGTGAAGTGATGGATATCTCCTCCTTTATCCAACTTTTAAGGATTAGCAGGCTAAACTGCCAAATTAACTCTGGTCTATCATCTTTAAAGATTTTAGAAGGGATCCCATCTGGACCTGCTGCCTTGTTGTTCTTCATCTGGTTGAGGGCATTGTATACCTACCTCATGCAAACTGGGAGGATCTTCGAGCTCATTCCCAGAAGGTTGTTGGGGTATTTGCTCAAGAACTTCATCTGTAACCATGGAGTTATGATTAAAAAAGATCTTCAAAATGTTCTTTTTGGTGGCTTTGTCATCTTTCAAAAGTGTGGTTCCATCCTTAGATTGAAGGGGGTTCATGCCATGACAAGCTGGCTGTTAACAGCCTTAATGGCACAAAAAAAGCCACATGTATTATGGGTGTCCACTAGCGTTGTTCTGGAGTTCTCGGGTTTTACGTTGGACTTCCGTTCTCGCCTTAGCATGGGCTTCTCTCTTTGTATTGAAATTTATATCATTCTGCCAAGCGCAAAATTCCATTCTCTTCTCATTGAGGAGTTGCTCAATTTCAACATCATTCTCATCAAACCAGTTTTGATGCTTTCTGGTGTGGTAGCCTATCGTTTCCTCACAGGTATTGATGATAGCTACTTTCAGCTGGCTCCAATGTTCCTCAATTTCTTCCAGAAATTTCAATGGAAACTTTTATTCTAAGACTACTTATAAGTGGTCACACTTAATGGGGTCCTTCAGATCTTGAACCTTCAGCTTGTGCCTGATCTGCTTCCTTTGTAACCTCCTTTTGAGGGCAAACATAATTTTCATTGTGGATTGAATGAGATCAGTCCAGCAGTCATTGGCACTTGGCATTGTTCTTGTGAGAAGTACGTCACTGCGATCTTGAGCACGAACTATGACTTAGTCGAGAAGATGCCAGTGCTTTGAACGTTGGTGTCTCCAACATGTTTTGAACTTGTCCTTTTGTTGAAAAAAGGGTGTTCATGATGATAAGTTCCTGTTCAGCACACTTGATCAGGAGCAGGATTCCATTTGAGTTGCTCTTACCAATTCCTTCTTTCCTGATTGTTCCCTTCCGCATGTCTGAGTCTTGTCCAACACATGCATTGAAATCTCCCAGAAGAATGATCTTATCTTCTTTAGGGGTCTCTGATAAAATGGTTTCCATCTGAGTGGAGAAATCTTTCTTTACATCCTCATCGGTGTCTATTGTTGGCGCACAGGCCTCACAATAGTTACCTATTGGTTTTTTATGAGCCTCAATCAGAGTGCCATAAGCCACTCATTGATGCTAACTGGCAGCTCGGAGAGGCACCTTACGAGCTTGTTCCTTATAGCAAAGCCTACTCCATACAATCAAGGTTCATCCAAAGATTTCCACCTTTTTCTTCCCTCACTGTCTTTCATCAGCTCTTCTAGTTTCAGAAAAGGCAGCAATATCGATGTTAAACCAATTTAATTCATGAGTAATGATAGCTGTACCTTGTACGTTTCAGGTTCCAAAGGTGAAAAGTTTCTTACATTTTCAACCACTGGGGTGAGGATCCTTCTGGATGCGACTATCTCCAGCCAACAGGAAAAAAAGACAAAACAATTTTTAGGGCACTTTTTCCAGCCCCCTCACGATGTGGGGTGAGCAGAGTGGGTCCTGAAGAGAACTGTTCAATCATGGGTGCAGTTGCCAAGATGTTCGACTTACCTCAGTCCTTGAGCAAGATGACTGAATCATACACCTACCACCTGTGTGTCGGTCTGTGACTAGGAACTTCCGT